TGGCTTAAACAACTGTTTTCTGTAGCAACTTTATGTCATGCCTTCAATCATTTATCCAGTCTTGATGGCTAACAGAGTGAAGGCCCACAATCTTAGAAGGAAAACAACTTGTCAATGTACTAAGTGTACTTCTTCACATTGGGCAACAAGAATCATAAGAGATAAACTCTAGAACTTCTAGCTTGACTAGTCAGATATAGGGTTCTCATTGGTAGATGAGCATCACCATGAATAAACAATATTTCAAAGGCAAGAAGATAGCTTCTTTTCTGTGCAAGATGTACTGCCCTTGTTTCTCTACTGCTGGAAACTGGGAGAAAAAAAAAAAGCTTGCATATTTTTCCACATTTTCCTTCTAAGGAAAGAAAGACACTGATTTCATAAATATCCAGCTTTAAAGGACTTTGGGAAATTATCAAATTATCTTCCAGAATGAAGCGATCCTGGTAAAATACAACCGAATCACCTTATTTCCTTGGCTAATTTAACCTTTTGAAGCATCTGTGTTTTCAGGATACTGGTTAAATTTTTTAGCTTAGTGCATAAAGCATTTCATCTCACTTCTGGCCTTTCCATTATCTTACATCATCCTATACCAGATTAGTTTTCACATTTTCATGTTAAGGCTCCCCAGATATCTCATTACTATGTTAGCGCCATAATACTTCTGCACCTCATTTTCTCTCCCCAGAAATAGTTTTCCCTTTCCACAGTTTTTGAGGCTTATTCTTTTTCTTTCATGATTCTGATCAGGACTCTTGTCCAGCTCTCCCAGCTGTGCCAGAAGGTCCAAATTTCATTCTTCTCTTATACAACCCTTTGTAGAAACTCTGTAACTATTGATTTTTGCCATCTGCTTAAAATATCTTAAGCATATTGGTTTACATTTGTATTCTTAGTATCCAGCTGTTATAAAAGATCTAGGAAATTTGAGACCTTCAAATTCACCAGGTCGTCTCTTTTTTCCATTCTAAGTTCTTCCTCCTCATCAAAAGAAGTTTGTGTTTTCTTCCCATATGTAAGAGATGCAATGAAGGACAAGTGTACTAAAAAACCCCCCCCCCCCAATTTAAAATAAAAAAAAAATCTTTAAAAAAAAAAAAAAAAAAAAAATACAACACTAGGGGTATAGGGCAATTTAATACATGCTTGAAATAAGTCTTCTTTTTTTGTGTGTGTGGTGTAACTTTTCTCTGAAAGCCTGGGAGTCAGACTTCTTTTTAAGATTTGGAATGACTCTTCTGCCTATTGTTTGTTTACTGTGGCCAGAAAAGTACAGCAACTGCGTGACACTGTAGGACATTTAAGCAGTCACTTCAATAGTGTTTCAAGACTTGTGTGGAAAACACACATTCCCGAGTTTTATAGGTGTGCTTTCACCATCTTCCACATACACTGGGGTAAAGGTGCCATTGGTTTTAGTGAAAGAAAACAATTTTTTCTATTTCCCAATTTTCATCCAATTCACCATAAGAACTTTTTGACAAAACAAACCCATTTGGGTGCAGGGTGAGTGGCATTTCCACAACAGAAGGAACAGTTCCTTGCCCATCTATGCCCTGTTCCACTCCAGTTCACTGCTGTACTTTGACTCATTCTTGGTCTTTTTGTCTGAATAAAGCACTTCTCTAAAATGTCCAAAAAGGCTTGACTTTGAGGTGCAGCCAATATGACCTTTATTATTCTTATGGTAATCTTTGCTCCAAGAATTCTGTGATTTTCATGACATACGCTATTATTCACTCCATCTTTTCAATGGCCAGAAGTGGGTTTCCTTTTGCTTTGAAGATGGAAAATACCCGGGCATGTTTTCCAACATCTCTATTGAACTATGATAATTACAGTAATAGGAATTAAGAGGTACACAGCTATACAGTTGCTGATATCCAGCTGAGAAATGAATGCAAGTTTTCAAGCAATGAAAATCACTGAAAAAGAATTGGGTTTTTGCAATTGAAAAGCGGTCAAATCTTTTAATAATCAGAATGAGAATTCAAATTATAAGCATATATAGACTGAATTTGTCAATTTCAGTATTAATTGAAATTAATTATTGAAATTAATTTGTCAATTTCAGTATTAATTGAAACAACAGTAATTGAATAAAATGGGAAATTTTGGTTTAAATAATATTCTTAACCCTGCCCGTTAAGGGTAGCGAAAATAAAATCTTTACAGACAAAATCAGCTATAAAGTTTTATTTACAAAACAGTAAACACTTCTTTATTGGAAAAATAACTGAACAAATGAAACAAATGCAAACAGA